TGTAAGATCAAGAACATAACACCTCACAGTGCCCGTTGCCATTGCCCGCAGCACAAAGCGCGCGGAGCGGTGCAGCCGAGGGCAAACCTCATTTCACGAGCGCCTCAATTCCACCTGTTCTACAGGACGCTACTAGGACCTACTAGGAACAAAGGGCATCGCTACTAGGAGCAAGGACGCTACTAGTTACTAGGGGCGCTCCTGGCCTTACTACTAGTAACCAGAGGACGCTACTAGGTTCAGTGCACAGTACCGAGCTCCTAGCTTTGATGTCGACCCTGCACAATTCCAACAGATATGTCATTTGGACTGAACCTGGATAGCGAATAGTGGCCGGTTCTGGTTGCATCATCAGTTATATAAGTTATACAAAAGACTATATAAGACGTCTGCAGCACATACTAGGCGTTGAAACCGTTGTTTGGGTGAATATGCTGCAAATGTGTGCGTTCTTCTGATCTGCCAAAGGCATCACACGGTTTCCCAAATCGCCAGCTCTGTAGAAACCCATGGACCCAACAGGCTGGACATCACCATCCCAGAAAAGGCTGCAACTCTGAGTTTGGAACTGCCTTTCTCAAGTGCTGGAGCTGCAAAGTGCCGAAGACGAAGCAAAGAAGCAACGAAGCAAAGAAAATGACTTCAAGATTTCTTTGCAATCTATCCCAAAAACATGCTTTGCTGATCTACGCTTCCACTTCTACAATCTTTTGGAGTACGGTGAGTGTCTGTACGGATAATGGCAAGAAATCATGGTGCGGTGCAGCTAGTGCACCGCTGCTTTGTACAATATAGAAATCTTCCATCCATATTCACCATGTCGCTCCAACATTTCTTGATGTTTGGTTCTTGCCTCCACATGCGAAGGCTAATAACTCTGACACGTAGCCTCAGTTTGTCATTGAGGACAAACGATGCAACACATACGCAAGATTAGGCCAAACCTTTGTTTCTTGACAAATTAGTGCTACTGTAGTCTTGAATGCGTATGGACCTGCAAGTGGCCGGAAATGGCCAAACCCAATCTTCCATCTTGCTGAACTCGAGCAGGAAATGAACCAAGTCGCAAGTAGACGAGGAACTGAACAGTAGGATTGTGACTGAAAACCTGCCTTTATTATGTTTGGTCTTGTTCCACCATGCCAAGTGCAGCGTCCTAAGTGGTTTTCCACCAAAGTCGCAAGTGGACTGCACAAGCCTGAAGTTTTTCTACACCTTCCATTCCACATCTCGTCCGAAAAAAAACAAAAGAAAAAGAAATAAAACGGAGGCGCTGGCTTCGCAAATAACAATCAATATCAATGAGTTGAATGAAATGCAGCTCAGCGAACAGTATCAGAAATGAAGGAATGAAGAAGTCGTCAGCCTTCCGATTGAGTTCTTCCCTAGGCCCTAGAACAGTTCACATCCTCTTTGCAAAGGCAAACTGAGCGTCTGACGATGTAAAACTGTTGGTCTTCCGTCTTCTAGGCGTGAAGATCTAGGTGTGCATGAGAATAGGGAGACCATGGGAGACCCCCTGTTCTAGGCCTCTCAAAGGAGCAAACGTTGACTAGAACTGTAACATTTACTATAACATACTCTTGGCTTCTAACATCTTCTAACTATAACCCGTATATAACTATATAACCCATTCAACATTCAAATGCTTTGATTCAACTACACAGTCAAATGTGTTTGGATCCATTTCTCTTCCTAGTGCAGGTCCAAGTAGTAGGAACATGCGTAACGCAAATGCTTGCACTCACAAATCCTTGTCCAGCATTTTTTTTGGGACAAAGTCATGAGTTCTTCACATAAGTCTGCTTCTAATTCTGACAGAACTCTGGAGGTATCTTTTTCATGGTGCCTTTAGTCCAAAATGAGCCCAAATGAAATGAATGTATAACGTTGCACGAACCTGCACATCGCTAGAAGGTAACGTAAGCGATTGGGCAACGTACTACACTATACGTGTGGACTTGGCAGAAACGGCAAAATGAAGCTAGTACCAAAACTTTTTGCCTCTGGCTTCCTTTCTTGGAACCATAGCCACACATTGATTATACGGAGAGCTATGCGGTAATGCATTCATGTTCGAGTGCTGCAAACAAAACTAGGCCTCAAAATGGCCACATACACATTAACATACATAATGTTGTATAATTATGGTTGCATGAACACCTTCAGCGGCAAAGTGTTTGTTTGGAGCCCGGACATGAAGGCAGAGGTGGAGGCAAGTCGAACCTGACAAACAGCATCAAGGCCTATCTGCTGAAGAGGCAACTCTCACATGAATAGCACCCTCAATGCAACAGGAGTATATCACTTCAAATTTGTAGAATGAATCCCCACTGTGTTCTACCTTTGCAAATCTTTGTCAGCAAAGACCGTGAACGTTTCAACAGTTTCCAAAAATTGGCTTGAACCATGGTACGAAGTCTCTCATCACTCTGTGTGCCGTGCCAAAGCGGTGGTGCCCAAGCACCTCGAAGCAGCATGTCATTCAGGAGCGCCGATCTCTTCAACAGTTCAACAGTTGAAGTTGATGTCCCTGCTTCATGGTGCTTCCAAAGCTGTTGGGCTGCAAGCTACAAGTTCTGGGGCCCGGGTTTAGTCACTCCGTGGTCGCAGAAAGTCACCCGGCCGATTGGTCACGCTACAGTAGTGGAAAGTCACCCGGCTTGCGGAAAGTCATTCGGACAAGAGTGAAACACCATGGCCACACTATGTACCACATCCTCCCGCCCAAACTCAAAACTGCATATTTTCTTGCCTGAGCTGGGACGAAACACTCCTTTTGCTGTTCATTTCTTGTAATTTGGATGTTGAATCACCACGGCCACACTTACTCCAGGTAGTGTTGTGAAGCCACTTGTCCTTCTTCTTCCAAACGACTTACTACAAGACCAAACGACTACAAGACTACGGTACCCACCTGAGAATCACCAGGACCACGCCATCATCTGCCTTGGAAGAATCAGCGACAGCTGTGAGCCAGTGCAGGAAGGCACCATCATTCTGATGTATGGAAGTATAATGTATCCGATGTCCTTTCACTTGGCGGCACTTGGTCTGCTGCAGCATCCACAAATTTTAGGAGCCTCAGGGAAGCAAAGGTGACAGGAGTCCGAATTGTAGGTTGGGAGGGAACATCTCCCTTTCGAGATCATTCTGGCTGATGACTGCACTCTCAATTCTTGATCGTAGCTCTGACCCATGATATTCATGTCGTAGCTGAGAAAGGCACTGTAGTTCCTTCATCCACCTTCAAATCTGCAGAAGCAACACAAAAGGAGGTGGGAGGTTGACACTTCAAAGCCAAAACATGAGTTTCATATGTCAGTCGACTTGGTTTTGCCGAGACACCCTGTTCGCGACACCCTGTTGCTGCTTGCGACTCAAAGCTGCAGGTTTGATGCAAACGACGTATCTCAACATGCGGAAAATCAAGTCTCCGGACTCCTGACTTTGCAGCAGAATACAAACTCATGACATGGATACAGTATATATAACTGCTTTCTCTAGGGTGGAATGTGACATGTACTGCATATTATGTATATATAAATACTATTATATGCAACACGTGTGCCCTATTTTTACCCCGTAAGTCCCTCTAACTCTAATTCCCACCAATGTCACCCTGAGTTCAATTTCTCCAACCTTCAATGACAATGACACTTGCTCTGTCAACTTGGGAACTTGCTGTGCCCTCACAATTCCAGAAGCTGCTGCCAAGGACATCCATATTGAAAATGAATATTACCCTCAACCACACAGCGCGTCCGCAAGTCCAAAGAAAAATCCAGCTTCAAGAAAACCAATGTATTTAATGTGTCTTGCATTTAAGATATCAATTCACTAGCATGCTTAACATCATTTAAAATCAAATCCTGCAGTCTCTTGGCCACAGATTCCTTGCTTTCACGAATTTGCCCCTTTTGACTTCACTGGGTCCCTTCTGTAAAAATCAATCCATCTCTGCGGTGCAGGTAGATTACCTGTACTGCACTTCATGTCACACAACTGCAGGTAGATCGAATTGCCCTCTCCCCTCGAAGCAAAAAAAGGGGAGTTTGTCTTCCTCTTGATTCCTACCTCGGGCATTCGAGCAGGGACCGGGTGGACAATCCTCACTCGGACAAACTTTTGTGCCTTTACTTGAACTCTCAAGGAACTAGGAGTGTACTTCAACGAGCATCGGAGCAAAGGTAGTTGTCAGAACCAACTCATACCACAAATCCAGAAGCCTCCAACAGCTACAAAGCTACTTTGGAGTCTATTCTACAGCCAGTACCCATGATGCCGCCGTTGATCTTTTCGATGGTTGCAGGTGCGCCCAGCGATGCAGCGATGCATTCGCCAGCACTGTCACGGCGAAGTGTCGGTATTTCACCGCATGCTGCTAAAGCTAGGGCCACGCAGCAATCTTGATGGGCTTTGTCAAGCACTGCGAGTAGCAAGTTGATTGAGCTCTCATAGGCTTCCAAAGCATGATCAACACTCCACTATTTCTCAGTAGAATTGGTATGGCTCAAAAATCGGGTACCAGCCAAGCCCACTGTTGAAAGGAACACCCGTCTAAAGCCTGCAGGTCCGTGGCTGCCGTGGCTCTTCTTTTCGAGCCATAGCCAAATGGTTGTGAGCCCAAGGCACCAATGGTTGCTTTCACTCATGAAGCTCTATGCTGAGCGGGACAGGTCATGCACCTACTCGTGGCACATCTTTGGCCAACAACTACTGTAGTACATCGGTTTCAACACATCCAGGGCAAAAGCTACCAGTTGGAAGTGATGATGAATGACATGGATATTCATAATATTAATATATAGTAATATATAATATATATACAGTATATGATAGTATATATATATATTAATGTAATATGAATTGATAAGCAAATGATGTTGTGAATCCATGAACGAATACACTTGTCTTCAAGACTGACTTCCAAAATCGTTGCGCCATCTGTGCAGAAACCACAGATACCTCATCTTTGGAGGTGCCCCACCGCCATACTCTCATGCGCCACCAGGCTTTGAAGCTGCATCCAGAACACCACTTTTACTCAAGGCCTCGGGCTCAGCGAATTTGGTGTCATTGAGAAGAATCAACCAAGCATCTGTTCGTACGTATTCCGTGTTCCATCTTATTCCCTTGTACTTATACATGAATGCTCTGCGAGATGCTCGGCAAACAATCACAAGGCCTCTTGTGTGCATGGCGAAGAATGTTGGTGCTTTATTGAAGTGACATCTGCAAAGTCTGAGAACGACACGTTTCTGCGAGAAGCCAGCAAAGCATTGATGCCAGAAATGTTTGAACACAAATAGCCTGACCTTAGCAGCTTAGCACAGTAAACTAAGCACGTGTTCGTGAGAGGATGCAATCAATGGATTCCTTGTGCAGTGAATGATTTGGCAAATCAACGTGCAACGTTGGTCTGCATCTCCGTGTCTTCTTTGGAGGTAGGGAATATCATAAAAGCGTTTACAAAAAAATGGACACAAACAAATGATGCAACATTGCATCACATGTCTATGCTCAAAATTGGCCTGCCACAAGCAACTCTTGGCCACACGTCTCACTTGAGCATCCCACCTCGGTGCTTCTGGATAGGGTTCCTTCAGCCTCAGTGGTTCAGGAATCGGAGATACTACGAGTACAAAAGCCATCTAAAGCCTCCTCCCGCTGAGGCTCTGCCATCTTGCAACAAATCATAACAAATCCTCTTGCTCAAATTACGACCGACTCCACAAAGTTCAATCCTCCTCACAATACATCACAATACCCGAATTGAGACTGGTGTCACTTGGTGTCCATGAACTAAGTTGCTAACGCAAAGGGAATACCAGATCGTGGGCGAGGCATAGCATATCTCCTGGCAGTCATGAGCAGCCGGTACCGGTAGCTACCCCCCGTAGGAGAAGTCCAAACACATCCAAATTCGCTCTGAGATACAGGCCGTGAAGGTAGTGTTGCCTTAGCGAAACAGGTTTTTGTGGCTTGAAACCTCCGTCATCCTCCGTCCAACAAGTCACACCACCCGAAACTCCAGCCTGTACGAAGGGTGCAACTCCAGGACGAAACGATGCAAAGACCATGTTGAGAAATTAAAACAAAGCCGTCGAGTTCGGCGATATTGGGCACTTGCCCTCCAGCCATTATAAACAGAACAGTTCCAATGCTGGGAAGCTGCTGAAGAAGAGTTCAACACTTGCGAGCGAGAACCTGCCATTCAAAAGGAGCAAGAACGAGTGGCACCGTGGCATGTCCATCATTTGCGAAGCAAACATGCGCGCGTCCTTTCTTCCGCTTCTCTTGCGAACGGATTTGGCCTTTGGCCTCTTTTACAGGACACTCAACGATCTTTGGGAGAACATTACTCTTTGAACACCTTGGCTTTTGTAGCTGTTTATGCTGCTTGATCAAACAGAGTCTGCGAGTTTTGCCTTGAGGCCTATTCTGACTAGGGTGCTGCGGGGCCCAAGGGATATGGTGCCCTTCCCGTCACTGGCTCATCACCCGATCCCAGCACAATCCTGGCGGCAAAAGCTCGAAGAATCCATTGGACTGTAGTATGGTAATATACCAAAAAGGAAGTACACTAGGTGTATGTATATATATATATTTATGTATTAAAATAAACATAATATGCATATTTCTCCATCGCCCTTTCAAGAGGCATATTATATATGCATACATTTTGTAGAAATCATTCACAATTGCATATATTAATAATATGTATACTGTATACTGTAACAGTACTGGGTAGACTGACTGAACATCTGTAGCCGACAACCTCATGATACCTCTGCGTGAAACGTAAAATGAAAGTTGCTTATGCACACGAGTCGCCACGGCTGTGGTGCAAAGCAGCGTCAAAAAGCCAGGACTCATGACGGTTCAGAAAGGAGCAGTTTCTTGCTAGTTGTTCAGAAGTTGTATTTGTGAACATCTATGAACAAACCAAAAATACAGAAGGAGCCATCCGGCCTATCCACCCGGAAGCGTGTGAGCTTTTGATTTACAATCCAGCGCTTCATGTAGTGTTTCCTGAGCGTCGAACGAGACAAGAGCTTTGATGAACCAAACCAACAGCAAGCTTCTCCGGTTCATAAGCCAGCTCTCCCCACCAGCCATGCATGAAACTTGAACTCAATGATATATGTTCTAATCAAAACATATCAAAACTCTCTAATGTGGATCGCAAGAATTGAAATTCTGATGTGCAGTTTGTCGGTCTCGAGTATCTTCAACCAAACCAAGCATCTTTTTCTTGTGTTTGAAGACGATCTGATCCTCGCCCTTGAGGTGTTCGAGAATGGTAATCTGCACGGTGATGGCAACAAAGATTGCCGAGGTAGGTAGGTAGGTAGGTAGGTAGGCGGGCGTCCTTGATTGAAGACACGTAAACATGAAGTGCACCCCCTACCTGAACACCCTCTCCCCCCTGTGCCGCAGCCTCAACATAAGCTCCATCAACCAGCGGCTGCCCCACACTCACTTCAAACCTCAACCAATGGAAGCTGTTTCAATCACAGCATCATTCTAATCCAAACGAAGAAAGTTATCCTAGTTGTTTTGGCTCAAAAACATGTTTGTAATAGCATTGTGGTTGAAAAGCTGCCTTGCGTCTACAGAACAAGTGGTGGCAAAGTTCTAGCATAAAACACTGTTTGATCAAACGATTGGCAAACTAGCATGCTGGCCCAAAGCAATAGCAAGCAGCTCTAGTTTCTTGCAACCGGGGTGGTCGATCTCTATCTCTATTCAAGAAATGGGTCCAAAGTTCGACAAAAGGAAATCTTGTAATCTTATCCATGCAATATCAACATGTCTCAATGCCTTCATAACCTCGCAGTTTCGCAACCAAAAGCACAGAATCCAGTCAGTCGGTTGCACAGAATCTAGTGTATAGTAAATTTATGCAACAATTTGTCTGTCGACTATATAGATACGTTTAATGTTGCTGGGCAAGTTCATGTAATTATATATACATGAATGAGACTCCAAAGCAAGCGCAAAGGGCACCTTCCTCTACTATTATGTCAGATTTGCAGTTCAATTCCGCAGCCTAAAGTCTGCAGGTGTTTGAGTGAAACCTAGGAAGTTTCCGCAGCGCTGCGAGTCCGAGTGGAACAACTCCAATGCTATGAAGGGAGGACACTCTGTCGTCCTTGCCAAAGTGTACAACAATAGCCACACCTTTCTCCAGGCAAACTGGTTGGATTTTAGATTGTACAACATTGTACAACCTGAATCAATCCGCTTCAATAGTGCAAAGCCCTTTGAGTACTGAGATGCAGCTTGTTATCATGCCTTTCACACTGATTCAACATTGGCGAATGTGGTTCTACTTACTCTGCGACTCACATGTACGCCTCAAGGACTTGTTGAATGCCTGTATGCTTCAAAGCCACGTGTCCCCACTTTTCTGCTTCAGAAGGAGGACGCGATTCAACCGCACCTGTGACTCAGAAAACTGTGTGGGATCTGCTCGGTCCACAAGCCGTAAGCTGTTGGGCATGGGACATATCATATCCCTACGTGTAATTCCTGTCTAATTAAGCGATATTATCTTTATGTCATACATTCAACAAAGCAATTTTGCAAAAACATGCACACAGTAGCATTCATCTTCCATCTGTATTAAGAAAAATACGAATCACAACAAATATACATGCGAGTCCTCGTCCTCGTCCTTGTCAAGTTTCTGCTTGAATTCAATGTAAAAGATACACTGAATTCATCTCAACTCACCTAAAGTAGAAACACGATTTAGCGCCTTTGAACCCGAGACAGCCCGGATGAAGTAGGTCTCATACATGCCCCCCTCAACCACCATGTGTTGGCGTCCGCTGTATTCAACCTGACACTTCCGCTTCCATTCAACCAAGCAGCGTGCTCTAATCTTGCTTTGGAGGAAGCCATGCTCATATTCAGGTACAGTAAAGACACGCTACTAGGAACAAGTGCATCGCTTCTAGTAACAAGTGCCTTACTACATAGTAGTAACAAGAAGCTATTAGAAACAAGTGCATCGCTTCTAGTAACAAGTCAAGTGACCACTGCATAGCCCAAATGCTCTGCTGATGGGACCAAGTGTCGCCTGAGTGTGCTCATGCTTGAGCGATCTTGAGGGTCATGCCAAGAGGATTTTGGTTCCTTACTTTTTTTCCTAGTAGCGTCCTTGCTCCTAGTAGTAAGGCCAGGAGCCCCTAGTAGCGTCCTTGTTCCTAGTAGCGATGCCCTTTGCTCCTAGTAGCTTCTTGTTCCTAGTAGTATTTGATTGGATCACAGCCTTTCAGTGGATCATATGTACAAATTGATCTATATAAATACTTTTGTCATCTCTCGTAGCAATCTGTGCTTGAAAGTTACTATCAACAGGTGTCCTGTAACTTCTTATCTAAGTGCCCATGCTTTTTTCGCAACAAACTGCAGCTCTCAGGCAATAAGCTAAAATCAATCAGCCAACCAAAGAAATGTCTACGTATCTGTATCTCACAGAAGTTCTGAGATATGCCCACATTTGTCTACAGTCTACAGTTTTTGAGGCGTGGCTGCTGACCACCTTCGGCATAGCTGCCAAATCAATGGTCCAAGATCGCCTTTGTCTAGGTGGTTTTATCTGGCCGGTGCCTGGCCTATTTGGATGAGCATGGTAGCTGGACAGTTTGCAGATGCCTTTGACAGGACCCCAATTCGATTCATTCATGGTGCCAAGTAAACTGCGTGAAGCCCCGTTTCGTGACGACCTTTCCCAACTGTAGAAAGTGACTGCTTGATGGTCATCAGGTCCTCGCGTGCAAGGTGTGTCTGCACGACATTGAACATGTTCTGTTATATAGGTGGATATGCATGTATTATGTATGTATATTAGGTGGATATGTATGTATTATGTATGTATACTGTATATAGTATATATATACATGATGCACACACGGCGCACACACACACACACATGTTCTTACACCGATGCATCCCAACATTTACAGTCATCGAACATCGAGGGCTCGAGGGCTGGGACGATATCTCTAGGGAGCATCGTCATCAATGCTCCGGATCCTTCTGTTCTGTCACTGGATAAGTAGATTTGATAGTTTGGCTTCTGCAAGGTATCTATGTGCATATTATCTATATTATAAGTGTATGTCTATGTGAACAAACAAATACAACAGAGTCACTTGCCTTGTACAAAGACACCGAGTTCCAACTAGTGATCCATTCTTTTCGTTACAGTCTCAAAAAGCTGTGCATGCTGTCCTCAGGAGGCTCTGCCACGGGAGCTGTGGTGTAGTATGCACGAGTGGCCACCTCAAGTCAATCGATTGGAGGGTTCGCAAGGTCTGTACTGCAGAGTTGCACACCAAAGTAGATAGAAAGCGAGGGGCCTCACAAAACAATATCATCGAAACCGTGAAGCTATCTCAGTAGAGGCAGGAAGATACCATGCAGCCTTTGCCAACTACAATAGCAACCGTGATTAAACAGAAATCCCGCTGAGCTCACGAGCTCGAGTATCTGTGGACATCTGCACCTTACCTGCAGGTCAGTCCAGCTATCAAAGCATCCTTTGTCCCTGTGGTATAGTATGGTACAGTACTCACAACAACAGTTGAGCCCTCTTTAATGGGTAGGGCCTTTCTTGGATGGAAAACTGCTTGATACTTCCTGACTTTCTGAACCCGTCGACACATACCTGACATGCCCTATTATGTAAATCTCAAAGGTAACAATGATGCGGCTTGGTTGAGTAAGTTAAGTTTCCCGAAAAATCTAGAAACCAAATCATTAGTGTGTGAGCTATCCTGCGTCCTACCTAGAAGCTAACTAGTAGCTAGGAGCGTTGTCCCCTACTTAATTAAGTTTATATAGTAGGAGCGGGCTTTAAAAAAAGTTGCCAAAATGAATGGTCTTGCTACTTCTGCAACCCTTTCCCTTCACCTGGTCCCTCGACCAAAACCGTGCACCACCTCGGCCATCGAGCGCGCCCGTGAGCAGCGCAAATGTGGGGCATCGTCCGAGAGTCAGGAGAACCACCTGAAACGGGGCACGCATTGCTTTTCAAAGTTCCGTTTTGAGCCAACGTCATCCAGTTCACACCAAAGTTGCAAATTACAAAGGACAGGCGTGATTGATAGTGTTTTCTGAGTGTGACGACCCTCACCACCGAACCCACAGGGCCCTGGCTCCACAAAGACTTGCAGCGAATGCTGCAAGTGTTG